TCCCCTCAGAAGAGAGTCTCCAACCACCACTACCCTACGTTTCTTCCTCGCAGTGGTGGCAGGAGACTGCTCAACCTTGGTGGTGCAAGGCCTGGTCTCCTCCACTGTGGGGGGTGACTCCTTGTCTCCTGCAGAAAGTAAAGTGTAACGGTTATGTAACAACACAGTGGGAGGGTTAGGAGCAGGGGTGGAACACTGCCTGCTGCCGGAAGTAACCAGCTGCCAGTGCTCACCCTGCACCACCGCCTCCTCCATAAGTGGCTGGTCAACAGTCCCACATCCTAGGTCAAGTATCAGAGAGGTAACCGTGTTAGTCTGAATCTGCAAAAGTGACGAGGAGTCCTGTGGCACCTTATAGACTAACTGAAGTGTAGGAGCATAAGCTCCTAGGTCAGTGACCTCAGTGGACTCCACAGGAATACTGTCCAGGAATTCCTCATGGCCTCGAATGCACCTCAGCCTGGCCACCTCCTCCTGTAGCTCTCCCACCTGCTGCCTGAGAGATTCCACCAGCAGGCACCTTTCACAACGGTTGTCTCCCCCAGCCTGGAGATCACTCAGTGGGAATTGCAAGCCAATTGCAAGGGAATTGCAGAAGACTACAGGTCCCAGAATGCATTGCACTGGCAGCTGTTCAGTCACTGGGTCACACCTGCATTGGGCAATGTGACCCTGAGCTGCACTTTGGCCACCTCTGCCTTAGTATCAGCACTAATTGCCCCTGGCCTTCGTTAGGGGAGGAAGGTGATCTCAGTCTGGCTCCCGTTCTTCATTTCCCTTCCCCAGCCCTGCAAACCGACACTGTAGAAAATAAAAATCTCCCGGTGGGATTGAACCCCGCCCGTTGTATATGTTGTTATGTCTGTTGGAACCTGGCAAAGGGTGTATCTGCCTCTGCTGTCGCTGGGCTGTCTTTGCATTCCATACAGCGCACGGCTTTCAAACACACCCGTGCAGTCAACACACTTTTAATATTAATGCCACTGTAGTTGAGATTCAAATGCATCTTTTTAATGGAATATCTTATTAGACTGGGAAACGCAGGCTGCTGTGAAAGCTGAGAGCTCCTTGAATATTCAGTTAGAAAGACAAATAGGCCTGCAGGGTGGCCCCTTGACTTCAGTCTGATTTCCAGAACACTAATAGGATAATCCATGGGAGTCAGTGCTTCTCAAATGCTGTGGATATCTCTGTGCATCTTTCCAGAACATCAGCTACACCAGCTCTCTCAGGGTACAATCGGCGCAGCCGCGTTATGTCGGAGTCACTGACGTTATTTGGAAATAAAATCTACACAGCAAGCCGTTATTTCGAAATACTGTCGAGCTGGAGGACTTCTTACTCCAACTCCTGGAACCCTCATTCCACGAGGAGCAAGGGAAGTCAGAGGAAGAGTGTTCTTGATGTGCAGACAGCGCCAAATGCCAAATTCAGCCATGTCAACTTCAGCTACTCAATTGAAGTAGCTGAAGTTGCGTCGCTTAATTCGACTTTTGCCCTGCAGTGTAGACGTGCCCTCAGAGTGTTTCGGAGGTTCTGCTATGCAGGGAAAGGGGAGAGAATCTAATTTGCTTAAATACCAGTTTCCTGTCCAAAAGTTGCCTTGCATTCAGGTGGAGTGGCTGCCCATGTTGCAGGGGATTCACAGACCTCCCGGGGTGTCCGTAGGAGGGTGTGGGTTTCAAGTGCACGGAGGACTTTGGAGGACAATTCCTCCCTGGCGTTTCAGTGGGAAGAATTAAGTGACAAAGCTGAGAGCGCGTATAGGAATAGCACAGACCAGCTTCTCTTGTCTTAGCGCCACCGGTCGGTGCTATCACCTGGCGCTCGGCCCAGAGAGACAGTCGTGGGCGAGAGGGGGACGGGAATTTGTCCAGGGAGAGTTAGAGGCATGAACTGGGTCGTGGTTCAAAAACTGCAGTGGAAGGAGCTGCAGAGCGACACAGCACCTGCCCCTTGCTCCAGCTCTGAGGAGCCATTGGGGGGTCTGGAGTGAGTGGCAGGGGAGGGGGGCAAGATCAAAGGTCAGGAGGAGCAAGCCCCTGGGCCGTTCTGAGAGCTGGGGGGCAGGCAGTTTGTACTGGAGTCAGAGATGGGAGGCAGTGGGGGGTGGAGAGAAAAGCCACTGAGAACGTCCACAGATGGCAAGAGGGAGAGACAGGAACCCAGTGAAGGGGACACAAGAGGGGCTGGTGAAGGGTGAGGGTGAGTCGAGAAAAGGTGGGGGGGGTGGCTCGGCAGCCAGGGTACGTGACAGAGAAAGGGGGTGAACCAATCCTGGAACAAGACCCCGCACGGGATCTGCTTTGCAAGTGCTGCACAAAATGGAGCCTTTCCCCTCGTGCTTCGAAAGCGCAGGGCAGCGACCGAACCCTGCTGGCACGGAGCAAAGAGCAGAAAGTCACACACGCTGTGATGTAACCCCCCCCTCCTCCCCCAGTGGCCCAGGCAGGTAATGTTGGCAGTTGCCCCCCAGACAGGCAGGACTGCGGGTGGGAGAGGCAAGGATTTGCCTTGCGTTAGCTTTGTGAAAGAGTCACCGTCCCTTGTGAGCGCGCCACTCTTTGGAGTGACCCCTCTGCAGCCCACAAGTGCTGCTGGCACTAGAGAATGTCCACTGAGCCGCAGAGCGTCCCGGCACTTCGCAGATCACAGGTAGTCAGGGCCCTGCGGTAAGCAGAACTGCCTTGGCTCTGCGTTTGCACATGGCCACCACAGCGGGGGCCAGCGGCAGATATAGGGCAGGGTGAGGGGGCGGCTGCCCCGGGCCCCGCGCCCTGGGCCCCGCAAAACTCTCATCCACCCCTGGTGGGGGCCCGATCCTTTGCTGGGGATCTCTGCATGGAAAAGAGCCCCTCGTCTTCCCAGTCTTCAGGAAGGCTGCGTGGTCTAGTGGTGGCCGGGGAGGGAGGGGAACTCGGAGAAAATCCTTCTCCTCCCTGTGCCACGTGTCACATGGCGTAGCAATGCCAGCCTGCACCAGGGCCGGGGGATTAGCTTCCCTGGAGCCCCTCTGCAGAACACCTTCAGATCCTGGAAGTGGCTAGAAAAGCACAAACTGCAGGAGAAAGAACCCCCCGACTGAGCAATCACACACAGCTCAAATCTCCTCCCAGCCTCTGCGGCTCCGAGGGGCTCCTCTCTCCTCCTTTTCCATTTGCAGAAAAGGCTCCTCTTTTGGCGAACCCTTATGCCTTGTGAAACGAGGCGCACGGGGTTCCCCGAAAGAGCGCGCTTGCTCTTCTGCAAAACCCCGTAGTCTAGACTAGCCTGTCTGGGACGCTGCATTGACTTCGGGGGTCCCTGTGGATTCCACCACTGGGGAGAGGGATCGGGCCCAGGGGGCGCGTTCGTGTGCCGATGCACGGCCTCTGCCTGTCACGCTCACGCAGTCCAACGCGCTCTGCCTCAAACGCTTTCTCCTGCTCAGCCAGTCACACGAGGGTCCTGCTGGCACATCGCACCCGCCAGGAAGAGCCCTGTTGCCGCAGATTGGGCTGCTACCCTGGAGTGGGGGCAAGAGGGAGGGAAGAGAAGAAGGAAGGAGTCAAATCCACTGCCCCATCCTGCTCCAGCCATGTCTCCTGCCCCTGCTGACCCCCCTTCCTGTTCTTTCCTCCCCACAGTTGACTTCATTGGCGGATTCGATTCCTACGGCTACCAGGCCCCACAGAAGACGTCACACTTACAGCTACAGCCTTTGTACACGTGAGTGTCCCTGCTCATGGGGGGGAGCGGGGCCCCATCCCACGAGGGGCAGGATGGCTCTGGGGACTGGCCATGGGCCATGCGGCTGTCCCCCTCTGATCAGCCCTGACTCCTGGCAGGCCACAAGCCACCAGCACAGCTGGCCCCAAACAGCCCCCTTGGCAGAGGGCCAGCTGCCCTACTCGTCAGGGTGAGGTGCTGTGGGGAGTCGCACGCCCTGCCCTGGCCTCTCTATAAACCAGGGCCCCCCTCTCCAGAGTGGCCCAGGGAGGCTGGGTTGCTAGGGCAAATGGGGAGGCCACACACTAGCAAAGCTCCCCTCGGCATGCCCCGGTGCCCCCCACCCCGCCAGGCTCGCCGAGAGCTGGGCGAGCGGCCCCAGGCCCTTTGCAGGGAGGTGAACGCAGCGGCTCTGGGAGCCAGGTCGTGAGAGACACAGGCCCCGGCCTAAGCCCACAACGGCGCCGGCGGATCCCTGGCGGGACCGGGCAGCCGGGGGAGACGTGAACCCAGCTCCGGGGCTCGGGGGGAGGGCAGGCTTGGGGCTCCCCCGCTTTCCCCACAGGTGGCCAATGGGGACTCAGGGCTTCAGGGAGGTGTCGGGTTCTAGCCCACGAGGGACTGCGATGGGAGCCGGATGTGCAGGAGGATCCTGAGGCCTCGCACTGAGCGAAGGGACAGAGGGGCCAGACTCAGAACCAGGGAGTGCGCTGCAGGGAGAGATACTGAGACCTCACTGCTGTGTGGGTGGGGGCTGGGGGCTGTGCACTGG